ACGGTGAGGTCCCGCATAGCGCCCGAAATACCGACGGGATCACCGCACCATACCACCAGTTTGGCGTCGAACACACCCCAGGGTTTGCCGGATTTGGGTCCACAGGTCGGACGGACTTCGAGATGGGGGGGAGGTTAGAATTTCGTCCAATTCTGGCGCAATCTCGGAGCAATCTCGGCGCAATCTCGGCGCAATCTCGGCGCAATCTCGGCTCGTCCGGCCTTGTAGACGACGTTGAGGAAGAGCGCGAGCTTGGCGGACGCGGGGAGGTCCGGGTGCAGCAGCGCGTCGTAGAGCGCGGTGTAGAACCGGTCCGTCAGTGAGTCGTCGAAGCGAGCCGCGTGAGAGAGGATCATCAGCGCCTAGGACGTGTCTAGGAAGCGTCTAGGAAGTGTCTAGGAAGTGTCTCATGGCCGCGTGAGAGAGGATCATCAGCGCCTAGGACGTGTCTAGGACGCGTCTAGGAAGTGTCTAGGAAGCGTCTAGGAAGTGTCTAGGAAGTGTCTCATGGCCGCGTGAGAGAGGATCATCAGCGCCTAGGACGTGTCTAGGACGCGTCTAGGAAGTGTCTAGGAAGCGTCTAGGAAGTGTCTAGGAAGTGTCTCATGGCCGCGTGAGAGAGGATCATCAGCGCCTAGGACGTGTCTAGGACGCGTCTAGGAAGTGTCTAGGAAGCGTCTAGGAAGTGTCTCATGGCCGCGTGAGAGAGGATCATCAGCGCCTAGGACGTGTCTAGGAAGTGTCTAGGAAGCGTCTAGGAAGTGTCTAGGAAGTGTCTCATGGCCGCGTGAGAGAGGATCATCAGCGCCTAGGACGTGTCTAGGAAGTGTCTAGGAAGCGTCTAGGAAGTGTCTAGGAAGTGTCTCATGGCCGCGTGAGAGAGGATCATCAGCGCCTAGGACGTGTCTAGGAAGCGTCTAGGAAGCGTCTAGGAAGTGTCTAGGAAGTGTCGCCTGGACGGTGATGGAGAAGTTGGCGGCGTGCGCGCAGCGGAAGAGGGCGCCTATGAGACACCTCCTAGACACTTCTGAGACACGTCCTAGGCACCGTCCTAGACACTCGCAGCGGAAGAGAAGGCGCCGAGTTGCTTCAGCAGCAGCTCGGCCGGCGCGCTGCAGAACGGCACGGCGCGGTGTATGCCGCTCAGCAGCGCGGAGAGCATGCGCGAGTCCATCGCCGCCTTGAGCGCGCCCGCGTCCTTGGCGCGCGAGGCGAAGAGCGCGAGGTAGACGAGCAGCAGCGTCTGCGCGAGCGGCGCCTGCGGGGGTGTCGGCGGGTGGCGTCATCATTCATCCTCGTCCTCGTCCTGAGTGGAGAGGCCATCCAGCGGCGGCGGCGGAGCGAGCGGCGCCTCTGCCCTTGACAGCACGAGCTGGTTCATGAAGATAGTCGCGTAGTACTGTGCGCGCTCGCCCACATTCGGCCGGAGGACAAACCTAATTAATAACTGATGATTAAGGATGAACTTATTAATTACGGCGCTCGCCCACGTTCGGCCGAGGGACAAACCGCTGCACGGCGGCGAGCAGCACCGGCTTCATCGGGGGATGCGACTGCGAGAGCTGGCCCAAGAGGTGCGTGACGCGGGAGGCGACCTGCCATTGAAGCAGTCATTAATCACTCATAGTTCCTCAGCCCAGGAGGTGCGTGACGCGGGAGGCGACCTTCTTGTCTGGGTCGCCCAGCTTGTTGACGAGCGCAGGGAGCAAAGAGTGCTCCAGCTCCGGCCTTGCAGACAGCATCTCGTGCAGCCCGCTCACCTAATGCGTCGCTCCGTCGCCAATGACTCGACAGCTCCGGCCTCGCAGACAGTGCCTCGTGCAGCCAGCTCACCATCCGCTGCTTCAGATGCGGCAAGTTGGACGCCGCGCCCGCACTCACCACCGCCACCGCCTCGCCATAGAGCGCCTGCTCACAGCAAGAGGTGTGAAGAGACGCTGTTCACAGCTCTGCCACCGCCTCGCCGTAGAGCGCCTGCTCACAGCAAGAGGTGTGAAGAGACCCTGTTCACAGCTCTGCCACCGCCTCGCCGTACAGTGCCTTGAGTCGGTCCTCGTAGTGCGCGCACAGCAGCGCCCTGTCCGAAGGGGACGCGCCGAGCCGCTGCTTCTCGAGGGGGACGAGAGGTCGGTCGGGAGGCAGCAGCTGGCGCAGAAACACGGCGAGCAGCGCCTCGACCGCCTGCGAGGCGAACACTCTCATTGATCTCCCCAGATCTCCCCAGATCTCCCCTAGATCTCCCCCAGATCTGGACCGCCTGCGAGGCGGACACTCTCTGTGAGTCCGTCTGAGCCTCGGACGAGTCTCGGGCACGTCTCGGACACTCTCGCCGCTCAGTCCCGCCTGCAGCTTGATCTCGGGACGCGGCCGCTGAGCGAGCGACACGAGCTGCCGCACGGACGGAAGAGCGTGGAAAGACGACTCCTGGATCTGGACCTGGAGGGCGGCGAGGCGGTCGCGGATGGTGCCCGAGGCGACGAGCTTCGCGACGAAGCGCGCGTCGCTGCCGTGCTTCTTCGCCTGCGCCGCCGCAAACGCCTGCTGCTCCGACTCGTGCAGCTGTTCTGCCCTCGCCCGCAGCTCTGTGGCTCGCGATGCCCCGAGCGGAGCAGCGCCGGAAGCGGCGGCCACCAGGCCCTCCTCCCACCAGGCGGAGCAGACGGGCAGCGCCATCGGAGGCGCGCGCCGAAGCGCCTCCTCCGAGAGGTTGGCGGCCGCAGCGAGCGTGCCCGCCGCCTCGCGCTTTGTCGAGCCCCGCGCCTCTGCCACGGCCCACGGGTCGGGACCGCCCTTGCCGCCGCCCTTGCCGCCGCCCTTGCCGCCTCCCTTGCCTCCCTTTCCGCCTCCCTTTCCGCCTCCCTTGCCCTTGCCGACGCCCTTGCCTGCACCACCCTTGCCGCCGCGGCCACGCTCCCAGTCGTTGGGCTCATTGAACGGGTCGCTCTCCGCTGAGGTGCGCGCGCCACCAGAGCGCAGGAAGGCGGCGACGTCGGCCTTGAGCTTAGCGTCCGCGGACATAGTTGAAGGGGCGCGGCCAGCGGCAGCAGTGGCACGCTGCGAGCCCGGCGCGCGGGCACGTACCGTACGAGGCCCCCGGGGTGAAGAATTTGCTGGCGTCGAGGTTCTCGAGGTGTATATCCTTTGGCCGCGTTGGGTCTTGTCTTGTGGTTCTGTGTGTCGCTCCTGTGTGACCGTCATCGCCCGTCTAGCGTCCACCCATACCGCGTTGGTGTCCCAGTCGTTGGTCGGACTGTGTTTCGCCTTCCCATCAATCAATCGTTGGGTACTCGAGTAGCGAGGATTGGTGTGACGCGATCCACGCAGGCGTGTTTTCTGGCGGCCGACCGTCAGTGCACGGAGTTGCTAGTTCACGTACTCGAGTATGCGCGAGGTGGCGGGCTGCATGCGTGTGTGAGTGAAGCTAGCTCAGCCATCCTTCCTTAGGTGACATGGCTGTGGTGTGTGTGTGAGCGGTGGCCTCGCAGACGACGAGCGCGATGAGGCCGCCGCGCCGCCGGGGTGGCCGGCGCGTGCCAGCCGCTGGCCCGTCCAGCGTGGCGGTGTTACATCATGTATTTCCTTCCCAATAACAAGGCTGTGAACTCACAGACCAGCGCACAGCGCCATGGGACGTATTTTCTTCTCCATAACAAGGCTGTGTACTCACAGACCAGCGCACAGCGCCATGGGACGTATTTTCTTCTCCATAACAAGGCTGTGTACTCACAGACCAGCGCACAGCGCCATGGGACGTATTTTCTTCTCCATAACAAGGCTGTGTACTCACAGACCAGCGCACAGCGCCATGGGACGTATTTTCTTCTCAATAACAAGGCTGTGAACTCACAGACCAGCGCACAGCGCCATGGGCGGTATTTTCTTCTCAATAACAAGGCTGTGAACGGTGACTCGTCCTCCTGTTCATCTCGTCGGCCCGTGCACTTCCCAAGTCCTCGCCGTCGCGCTGCTCTCCGGCGCATTGATGTCACTCCTCCAAAGGACTCCGGAGCAGTGGAGCTCCATCATCCATTCCGCCAGATCGCGGGGGATCTGGCCGCCGTCGTCGCCTCCTTCGCCGCCGCCCTCATTTCCCTCGCCACCATCACCTCCATCTCCTCCGCTGCCGCCGCCTCCGCTGCCGCCGCCGCCGCCGCCGGCTCTACCACCCTCGCCAGACCCCCCGCCTGCCGAGCCCCCGCCTCTATCGCCTCCCGCGCCCTCGCCGCCGCCGCCCGCCCCGCTGCCTCCGCAAGGCCCGCCGCCGCCACCGCCGTCACCGCCGCCACCCTCGGCGCCACCGCCTCCTCGTCCGCCGCCGCCGCACCCGCCCTCGCCGCCACCGCCGCCGTCGCCTTCCCCGCCGCCACCCGCCTTTCCGCCACCCACGCCGCCACCCAAGCCGCCGTCGGCGCCGCCCGCCGCCGCCGCCG